CTGGAGAGGGGCTGGGGTGTGCCTGAGAGTGAGGGTGGCAGGGCGGGTGGAGAGCAGAGCAGACTCGGGGAGGAGACAGCTGGAGTTGGCTGGGCTGGGCTGGAGTGGGCTAGGCTGGGGTGGGGTGAGGGGGGTGAGGGGGTGAGCCTGTACCAATTCTCCCTCACTAACCCCCTGGGTGGCCCTGCAGGCGGCACAGGAGTGGGAGCTCAGGGAAGCGGGAGCCAGCGGAGGTCTCACACACTTCCCTCACTCCCCCTGCGCTGGGCTGACCCTCGTGAGCCCCTCCCCAGGGGCTGGGGGGTCACTCCTGGGCAGAGGAGGGTGGCTGGCCCTGGAGGCCCAGTAGAGTCATCCTAGCTGGGGGCTCTGGGTGGCCTGCTTCACCTTTCTGAGTTACCACTGGGACCTGGAGGCTGAACGTCGAGGTGCAGGTTGGGGTTTCCACGCATGAACACAAAGATGCTCATGGTGCAGGACAGAACCAAGGGCCAGAGCGGCCCGCCCTTCTCGTCGGGCTGCAGGGGCAGAGGAGGTGGCGGTCTGAGGGTTTTGCACAGCCAGGAGCCATGCTCCCACTGGGGTTGCAAGTGCCCAAAGGCGCTCGGCTCCTCCCGACCTGCTCTCTCCACGTCCTGCAGGCACCAAGCACCGCCATGTGGCCAGGGAGCCAGCACCCACAGGCTGGACAGAGACGAGGCCAGCCAACGAGAGACGCTCCTGCCGGACTCCCGGGCTGAGGCTGTGTGCAGCCAGCAGCCAGGAGGACAGGGGCCTGGGTGACAGCGCCAGGTTGCAGAGCCCAGGCTGGGGACCAGGAACAGGGGAGCCAACGCAGAGTCATGAGCAAGGGGGCAGTGCTGGCAGGCTTGCGTTTCAGTAAAAACCTTCCAGGGGCCAGATGGAGGGGAGAGGCCTGACTGACCATGAGAACCTGCCCCGGCTGCCTGTCCCCTATGGGTCAGTTTCCTCCCCTCCAGCGTTTGGGGTCCTCCCAGATCCAGCGCTGGGCAGCTGCTTCAGTCTCCTGTGAGAATTCCCTCTGCTCCCCACCCGAATCCACTCTGCCCAGCCTCCACCTCTGGCCTCTGCCTCCGGCCTTGCTCACTCTTGCCCCTCCTGGCAGTGCCATCCCTCTGTCTCTCAGTTTATGTAAGCTCCACTCTTCCTTCCAGAACCACAGCAGCTGACAGCACAGCCTCCCTGAGTCCCCCAGACCTGATCTGAAACCCAGATTTGCCGCCAGCTGGCTGTGTGACCTTGGGCGAGCCACTCAGTGTCTCTGGGGCTTAGCTGACTCTCCAGAGTGAGGAAGACAGCTGTGGCGTTGAAGGGAGGTGACGCCTGCCGCGTATTTAGCACGGTGCCTGGCCTCCACCTTAAGGACCAGGGGAGACCCACGCCTCCGGCCCTTGGGGACCAGGACCTCCTCTGGGGTCCACAATGCCTGCTGCCCGGGCCCTGTCCGGCACACTGCAGACTTGGCCTGTCTCTGCTGTCGGGGGCTCCTGTTGGAAGCTGGCTCCTCCTGCACCCTTCTGCTCCTGGCAGCTCTGAGGTGGGCCTAAGAGCACCTGGGCATCCAATTCTGCTCCCTAACTGGGGGTGACTCCAGACTCTGCTGGCCCCCACCCAGCCTGCCCAGACAGTGCAGGACCCAGGGCTAGGGCACAGAGGGGGACATCCCACATGTCTGAACATTTGGCAGTTATTTGTGGAGTTAACCACTGTTACATAAAACACGCCTATGCTCCCACCTTGACAAACACCCTGTATGAGGGCCTGGAAGGCCCGGGGACCAGACTGGGACCTTGTAGAGTTCTGTGCTGGAATGCGACGGCCCGGGGAGAGCCAGCCCCCAGCCCTTTGAACCAACCCACCCCCTGCTCACTCCTGTCCTGCGCCGAGGGGCTGTGTGTGCACGTGTGGACACCCACCCTGCCCGCCCGTGCCCAGTCCCCACCCTCTGAAAGCAGCAGCCACCAGTCTAAGGATGCAGATGTTGGTGGGGATGTGGTCTGCCCCTCAGACATTCGGAGGAGAGGCCCACGCAGGCCCTGGGCTGGGGGCACTGGGGCAGCACATTTGGGGTCCTGGGCAAGGCAGGACAGGCTATCTCTCAGGGTCCCACGTCTGCTGTTGGGTCTGGGAGAATGAAATGCTCTGGGCCTGCTTCAGCGAGGGGTGGAGGACTCAGCTAGTCAGATGGCATTTGGTCCCATGGGAGCCCCGGGGGGTGCACTGCTCCATGGATGAGGTTTCACCCAACAAAGAGGGGGTGCTCGGGGTGGGACGGGGGGATCCAGTGAGCAGAGAGAGTGGGGCCTGGAGAAGAAAATGGGGCTCAGCCACCAGGGGAAAGGAAGCACTCACGCCTCTGCCCGGGCCTGCCCGTCCGTCCTCTCCCTCCCACATCCCTGCGTGTCCCCTCTGTGTCCACCTCGCAAGAAGGGTTACCAACGAGCCACCGCCTTTACCCTCCAGGCCTCTGCCGATGCTGCTCCCCTGCTTGCAGCGTCCTTTCCCGTTTAGCCGAACCCCGCTGACCCATGAAACCCCTTTCTCCTCCACGGCTCCTCCTCAGGCCCCCGGCGGATTAGCTGCCCCCTCCGCTGTGTTGGTGTGGCCACACGGCCATCCCCCACCATGCGTGTCACACTGGCCAGAATTCACCTGTCCTCGTATCCTGCCACACTGTCACTAGATGTGGGCCTTCCTTTCAGGGACGGCCTCCCGCGGCACCTGTGGGGCACCAGGGGCGGCCTTGGCGCTGGCTCTCTAGCTGTCACTAAGCGTTCTTGTCATGTCATTGGGTCTGTGTCCCCATATGGAGGATGGCATTCCTTATTAGAAAACTGACACCTCGCCTGGGCCAGACTCTGTGCAGGGGGCTGGGAGGACGGAAGGCAACCAGACCAACCCTGCGGTCAAGCTCAGGGATGTCTCTGGGATGAGGATACGCCAGGGGCAATGTGGGGGCCAGAGGTGGGTGCCCAGTGTGAAGCTTCCAGGCAGGAACATCGGGTCTCGCCTGGGCCCTGGAAGCACGGGCCTTCCCCCGGGCCGGGGCTGCAGTCAGAGCAGAGCTCCCCGGCCCCCTCAGGTGGGGGGATGGGGGGATGGGGGCCCCACGAGGCCCTGAGTCCTGGCTGGGTGGCATCCAGTCCAGTCCCCACTGAGCTGAGGGCTCCGGGAAAGGACCCGCCACTGGGCCTCAAACTGGGTTTGCGCCTGAAAGGACGTATCCAGGACCCAGGCCCAGGTGGAGCCGGGGCCCGGTCCCTCTGCCCAGAGCCTGGGCCGCCCCTCACCCCCCACCTTCAGAGCTCCGCCAGGCCCGGCCTCGATGTCTGAGGGGCTTCCTCACTCGCCCAACCCCCCGCGGGGTTCCTAGGGGGCAGAACCCTCTGCCTCAGAGGCCTCATGGGCCCCTTGGCTCCCAGGGGCTCCCGGCAGACCCCTCCCGGGGCTGGGCCTGGTGAGGCTGACCAGGCACGCCGTCAGCAGGGCGCAGCCGGGCCTCCCCCACAGCTGCCCCCACGACACCAGACCCACGTGGGGAGAGCACCTTTATTTCAGTCTTACAGACTCCTGCCTGCCTCCGACTGTCCCTCCGTGGAGACAGGCCCACAGGAGGCCACACCTTGGCCCCCGGGCCAGCCCTGCCTCACCAGGGGCAGTCAGGGCCTCGAGGGCAGGGAGAGGTTACCAGGATCCAGGGACCAGGCCACAGCCTTCCAGGAGGACCAAGGGTATTGGGGACGGTCACTCCTGCCTGAGGGGACACACGCCGGGGTGGCGCCAGCGCCTGAACCTCTGAGTTTGCCGTCATCTCTGCAGCCCAGCGAGAGAGAAGCACCAGGGCTGGTCCGCGTCATGGGACCTGAGACCCCTGACCCCTTGCTGGCTGGGGTCTGAGACACTCTGGGCGTGTCTGCTGTGGGGCCTGCCTGGGCCCACGCCCTGAGGGCAGGAGCGTCTCTTCCCAGCAGGTCCTGGACGCTGGAGCTCTCCTCCCTCCAGTTTGTCGAGGGGACATTGGCCTTGCCGTGTAGCAGAAATGGCCAACCCTACAGATTACCCGAGAGCCTGGGGGAGGGCAGGCTGCACGTGGTGGCCCCTGGAGGTGCACATTCCATTAGACTCTCCCTCCTCCCGGCTCAGGGGACGGGACGCCAGGTGGGGTGTGCGGGTTCAGAGAGATTGGGGTGCAGTGGTGGGCAATGCCAATTTGGTTTGAGGGCCCTTGCACCCCAAGGCTCCTCTCTCATGGTCCCCAAGTCCATGTGACTGTCATGGGCTCATTCCAGGTCTTCCTGGCCTCCGAGAGCAGCTCCAGGCCAGCTGCCCCAGCCCTCACAGCAGACCCCGAGTCCGGGGGGGGAGTGGAGGAAGGAGGCCCAGGGCCCTGCAGTCTCAGGGGTGCTGGGCAGGGCCCCACCCCCCTCCCGGCTGGCCGGCCCAGCCTCCCCGCAGCCCCATGCCCACCCTGTCTGTTTCCCCCCTGAGGAGGGGAAGCTGGCCGGGTAGAGAGTTCAGGAATGAGGGGCCTGGATTCACATCCCACCCCAGCCGTCCACCGTCTGGCAGCTTATTCGTCCTCTCCAAGCCTCCGTTCCCCCAGAAAGTGGGGTAACAAGCCTACCTCCTAAGGGTTAAATGAGACAATGTAGGGAAAGCTCCCAGACAGGCCCAGACCTCACAGGGACTCAGTAAATGGTGGGGATCATGGTCATTCTCACACCCCGCCCGGCCTGCCCAGACCCCGTCTCCTGCAGGGAGTGGGGGGTGGGGGAGGGCGGGAACCAGGGCTGGGCTCTGCCGAGGGTGCTGGGCCCCTCTGGACCCTGCCCCTGGAGGTGCCATCTGTCCCCAAGGCCCCCAAGCCCCAGGACCAGGGTCCCTCATCATCTTCTGTGCCTGGATCCCGGTCCCACTCGGGGCGCCTTCAGGAGCCAGCGGCAGTACAGGCCCTGGGGCTGGTCTCTAGGGGGGCCGGGCTTGTCTTGGAGAGCTGGGCCCCTACTTCTCGCTGCTGGCCCGGCCAGCGCTCTTCTGCCCGGGGTCGGGGCCGAGCAGGGCAGCGAGGGAGCTGTCGGGCGGGGGGCCGCCCCGTTTCATCTTGAGGTTGGCTCTCAGGGCAGCGTCCTGGCTGGAGCCCCCCTCGGGGGAGGCCAGGGGATCTGGAAGGAGAGCAGGAGTGGGGCTCACGCAGGGCCTGGGAGCGCTCCAGGGTGCCTCCAGTCACAGGCCCTGGCCAGCAAGGGAAGCCCTGTACCCTCGAGGACAGGGCCAAGCCGCAGCCTGCTTTCTCCTCCTCAGGCGTTCACTCACCCAGTCATTCATTCACCCATCCATTCACTCAGTCACCCATCCATTCACCATTCATTCACCCACCCATTGACTCATTCATTCACTCATTCATACATCCAGTCACCCACCCATCCATTCATCCACCCATTCATCCATTCATCCTTTAACAAATGCTGACCAGGGCTGGGCTCTAGGCTCTGCAGAGGTGCCAGTCACCACTCTGCCACAAGGGACTCCCAAGTGCCTGAACCCCATGAGGGACCAGAATGCTCTGCAGAGCACCGTGGGGAGAGAGGCGGGTGGCCTCACAGAGGAAGGGGTCTTTGAGCAGGTCCTGAAGTGGAGCTGCTGTTCAGCAGGCGGAGGGACCGGCCTGAGCAAAGGCACGGACGGAAGTGGCAGGGGGCTGGGTGACTAGGTGGTGGCTCTGCGTCACTGGGCCCCAGGCTATGCTGGGGAGGGACTTGGTACTGGATCCATCTGAATGCCGGTCATGGGCAGCAGGGAGCCACTGAGGGTCCTGGAGCAGGGGAGGGACAAGGTCAGACTGGGGTCTGGGGAGGACCACCTGGAGCCAAGTGGAAGGTCATGGAGGCAGGGAGACCGGAGACCAGAGCAGCCTCCAGGAGGGCGGCAGGGAGTGGAGAGGCCGGCTGTGGGCCCACCCGTCCCCAGGACTGTCCCCGCCCCCCCACCAGTCCCCAGGAGGTCATGACTCACCATGGATCCCGATCATGTGCTCCAGAATGAGGACTCTCTCCGCCAGGATCTTCAGGGCCTCCCGCAGCTGCTGCACCCCCTCACTCTGCAGGGACGGGGCCAGGGCCATCCTGCTTCAGTGTACGTGTTGTCCCAGCCCTCCCCACTCCCCCCCTTCCCTCCTGTCACCATCAGTACAAACAACCATCGTCTGCTATGTGCCACAGATGGGGTTCGAGTTCTTGTTGGCAGACAAGGGACCTGAAGCACAGAGAGGGTAACCAGCGTCCCTGTGGTCACACAGCCTGGAAGTGGCCGACCAGGGCTTCACACCCAAGACCTGTCTGCCTCGAGCCTGGGCTCTTCCTGCTCCCACGGCTGCCTGGCTGCTTCCCTTCTGTGCCCCTCTTCCCAGAAAATACCCTGCTGAAGGCAGAGCACCTCGCACGGGCCCACAGGTGGGGGTGCATTGCTGGTTTCCTTCCTGGCACTGCCCACCTGAGAGCCCTCTGTTAACACCGCAGAGCAGGCCCGGGATGGCCACCCCGGCAGGAAAAAGAGAAGGGAGAGCTGGTGATTCCGGAGCGCCGGCGGGAGGGCGCGATGACGGCAAGGCTACACGTCTGGGGCCCGGCCGACACACGGGCAAAGGGCCTTGTGCGTCGAGACACTTGAACGAGCTGATGTACTGAGAGGACAGGTGTCAAGGCCACTTTGAAAAGAAGTGTGGTGGTAAAGTACCAAGGCCCCGCCCCGGGTCAGCAGCAAAATCCACGCCTTTTGCGGCAATAACACGGCAGCTCTGACATTCAGATTAATTTAGCAAAAAAAAAAAAACCACAAGAAGAAACTAAAAGCGTGCTACTGGGTTACAGGAGAGAAGTCTTCCCATGAGAAGCCACGCTGTGGACAGTGTCTGGGATGCAGCAGGGGTCCAGGCCCTCCATCAGGAACCCAGCGAAGCCCCACGTGCCCAGGCCACAGCTTGCAGTCTTATGGAAGGGGGAGGGGGAGTCACAGGGAACCTCTCAGTCTCCCCTCGCAAGTGACCTGTGACTCTGTGCTCCTGCTGCAGCATCCACATCTTCCCGCTGCCTCCTGTGCCCACACGGCTGCTGTGGCTTCAGCCTCTTCCCCTCTCTCCACTCCTGCACGTCCCTCCCGAAGGTCCACCCCAGCCTTGCCCCTTCAACCCAGCCCGCCTCCCACAGCTGTCTGCCGCCAACGCCACCTCCCACCTCAGACACTGCCCCACTTTGAACCTCCCCAAGCTCCCTCACTTAAGGGGTACTGGGTGCCCCCTGTGCTGGCTGGCCTGGCTGAGCTCTGACACAGCCAGGGGACTCCTATTCTCAGCTTGCAAGGCCTCCCTGCCTGGCCCCACTGCCCTCTCCCCCTTTATCCATCACCCTTGTCTCCAGTACCCCCGCCCGGCTCCTGGAAGGATTGGGTCTCCACGGCCATGTCCTGACCCCTCTGTGCCCCCTCTCCACTCCATCTTGCCCTGACACCCTTGTGCTCCCAACCTCACTCCTTCGTCTGCCCTCTCCCACATCCACCAGCCATCTGTCCCCCTGCCGACGTGTCCTTCAGTGCAGCAGCGCCGTGACCCTGTGGGCACATCAGTGCACCAGGCTTCGTCACGTGAGAGTGGCCCCTGGAGAGGGACCCCACAGGGTGAAGCCTCCTTAAATGGGGTCTGTTCTGCAGGGCCATGGTTCCCCCTGCCCTCTCTGGCAGGCCTCCCCCGCCCCCAGCCCCTGGGCCAGTCGACCCTCTGTGCCACCCCCGCTGCAGACTCTTCCCACTATGCTGCCCCCACTGCTTCCTGCATCTGTCTCCGGCCTGGGCGGGGACCCCATCCTCCCCGTGGCCGCGTGGGCTCGGGCTGATGGGTGTCGGCACAGATCCGTGGGGCCCGCTCTCCGCTAGGACCCACCAGGCGGGCCCACAGCAGTTACCTCCGCGGTGCCGCTCTCCTCCTCCTCCTCCTCCTTCCCACCTCCTCCTTCGCCCTGGGGAGAGAGCCAGGCGTCAACAACCGGTGTGGGTGGGGGACCCTCTACAGCTTCTCGGGCAGACCTGCGGCCTGCAGGGAGTCAGGGGCAGGCAGGGCCCCGTGGGAACTGCCCTGCGGTGAGCAGAGCAGGGGAGGCCAAGGCCCCGGGCACCCTGCACAGCCCAGCTCTGTGGCCTTAGGGCCTTAATTCTGCTTCTGGGGTGGGGGGTCAGGTAGGGAACCCCACCAGCTCACGTCTCGGCTCTTCCAGGGATCAAGCCCCCCGCCTCTCAGGACTCCGCTTCCCTGTTTCTAAAACGGGGCCAGGAACCTCAGCCTCACAATAACACCCACGTGGCCACTTGCTTCCGTGTGACCTCGAGTGAGTTACATGACCTCTCTGTGCCTGTTTTCTCATCTCTAAAATGGCAGTAATAATAGTGCCCACCTCGTAGAGCCGGGAGGAGGATTCAATAAATCAATTTCGGTAATGAGCTTAGACTGGTGCCTGTGCCTAGAAGTGCTGTGAAGGTGGGCATCATCACTGTTATTCCTTACTAGACAGGAGCCCGGGAGGAGGCGTGGCTCTGGAGGCTAACACTCCTGGGTTGAAATCTTGGCTCTACCGTTGCCGAGTTGTGTGACCTCGGGCAAGCTACTTAACCTCTCTGAGCCTTAGCTGCCAGTTCTGGCAAATGGCAAAAATAAAGCGTGGTCTCGCTGGGTCCCTGTGAAGCTTAAATATACTACGGATGAAGAGCACCTCATTTGTGGCCGGCACACAAGACACGCAGCAAAGATCCTTCCTTCCTCCCCTGCCCCGTGCCCCAACATAGGGCACGAAGGGGGTGCTGCCTCCTTGGCCCTGGAGGCAGGAGTTGAGACAAATTCTTGTTTCCGAGAAAAGAAATTAGAGGTCAGCTATCCACTGAGAGGTTCAGAGAAGGGAAGGGTCTGCAGGTTACACAGCGTGTTAACCCAGGGCTCTGGGCTCCCTGGAAGAGACTCAGGACCCTCATCCAACCCTCCCGAGGTTGCTGCCCCTGGGCCCCAACAGGAAGCTCCTTCAGTCCTCACTCACACTCCGGCGAGGGTCTCCCCACCCCTTCTCCACTTGGGCAGCTGGGACTGGTTGCCCCGTCTCTCGCTCTGTCCCGGCCTGGCTGGCTGGGACAAGGCCGTGTTTGTGGAGGCTGGGGGCTGAGCTCAGGCAAGGCCGCCCGGCACAGACGCCCACCCCCCTGGTGCCCTGGGCCTGCACGGGGGCCCACCGCCCAGGGAGTGGCCCCTCTACACGGCCCCACACTTACAGATGGCCCCGTCGCGCCCCGCTCTCCAGCCAGACCCTGTGGAAAATCACACAGAGATTAGGCCCGGCCTGCCCTCGCCAGCTCCTCAGTCCACCCCTCGCCCTCCCGCTGCACTGGGCTCTGGGTCTGAAAACCAGGACGGGAGGAGGATGGCGTGGAGCAAATGGGATGGACACACTAGGGGCTCCCAGCTCCCAGAGCCGCACTCCGCTGGCTCCTCAATGAGCCCGGGTCTTTTCATCCGCGAAATGGGGCCGTGCCAAGGATGGTATCACTCGGAGAAGGGAACGGATGGCCGAGCGCGCAGCCCCGCCAGTGGAGAGAGGGCCCCAGAGGATGAGTGATGGCAATGGCCATTGTGAGGGCCCCACACTTGGACTCCCCATCAGCGCTGAGGCCCAGCTGGAAGGCTTCCCAGCCCCCAGACCTATGGTCCGGCCGTCCTCCAGCACCCCGACCCGGCTGACTGGGAGGCGCCCATCCACCCCTCCAAAGTGGAAGCCCTGGCTCCCCCCAAACCCGTCCCACCCCGAGGTCACGCTGCTGCAGTGCACACCTTCCCTTTCCCTCGCTCCCCAACTCATTCCAGCAGCCAGACCCGTCAGCTCCACTTTCTAAACACGTCCTTCGCTGTGCCACGTCCACCGCCACCACCTTAATGCGAGCCACCTTCACGTGCCCTCCGCGCTGCCGTGGCCTCCTCCCTGCCTCCCTGCTCCACTGCCCCCGCCTCCCACGCCCCCACAACAGCCAGACGGGGCTTTTAAAGACAGATATCAGATCATGGACTCTCCCTCCCTGACACTCAGTGAGTCCCCTTCCCAATGTGACAAAATCCACACTCCCGCCTGCAGGGAGGGCCCCGCCCACTTTGCCTCATCTCCCCCACAATCGCCTTTGCTCAGTGTGCTCCAGCCTGTCCCCTGCCCCAGGGCCTTGGCACTCACTCTTCCCTCTGCCCGGATCGCTCTTTCTTGGCATCTTTGTGCTGCTCTTTCTTATTCCTTGGGTTCAGCCGAAATGTCACCTCCTCGCCTCAGTCCCTCCTGTCGCAGGAGCCCCTTCCCAGTTACAGTCCAGGGCCTCCTTCAGTTCTCTCACGACACTTCCTCCCTCACTGCGCACTGTCTGCCTCCCCTTTTAGACTCTCAGCCGCTGGTGGGCAGGCCCCACGGCCCTGCTCCTGTGCCCAGCACAGAGCCTGACGCTGCGAGGCCCGGAGACATTTGGTTGATGAGCAGCATTTGCGAAGACCTCCTCAGGGCCTGGCGTTTTCCAGCTCATAACTCCTTTATTCCTTGTGAAAAACCCGCCCAGCAGGGATTTTTATCCTCATTTCACAGATGGCGAAACTGAGGCCCAGGGCGTCAGTGACTTGCTCAGGCTCACCCAGCTGGAAACCAGCAGAGCTGGGCTTCAAACCCCGGTCTGTCTGTGCCCCTCAGAGAAAGCAGGGGCCACCTGGTGCCTTGTCACTGCCCCATCTCACTCCTTTCTGACCTCTGTCTCGGAGCCCCTGTGCCCAATCCTCAGAGGCCTTGACTCGTTGGCAAGGGAAGGAGACAGCAGCTGGGTCACCGGATGCCCACCATCCACAGTGCAGCCACGGTCTGGCCCTTCCGGGGCAGCGGGGAGGCCGGTGGCCATCCCGGCACAGTCAGCATTTGGGCTCCTCTGGGAATCTCTCTCCACCCTGCGGTGTGGGGCCTGGGCAGGGCCTGGGCCCTGGAGCTGGGGACAGGCCGGGCCCTGCCTCCTGCCCTCTGGCATCCCAGCCCTGGCACAGGCCCCCAGCCCAGGGAACGACCACAGCAGGGAGAGGAGGGGTCAGGAAGCCAGCATCCTGGAGACCCTTGGCTGATGCCTGGCCACACCTTCTGGAGGGGGCTGGGCCAGCAGCTCTGACTTGGTCCCCTTGAACCTCCCTGGAATCTTGCAGGCCTGGGTCCCCACGAGGACAGGGTCTGCACAGCCACCTGAGGCAGCCCTGCCCGCAAGGGCCTGGAAGACCCTGGAAATAGACACCTGGAGGGTGAGGCTACTCCAGATCACCCACTGCTTCCTCGGCAAGGGCCAGAAGCAGCTGGAGGACGCCTGAGAGGGGCCTGGAGTCCCCCGGCCCTGCCGGGACCCCTGCTCTGCTCCCCTGCTGTGTGACTCTGGTGAGTGACGGATCCTCTCTGAGCCTCCACTTCCCTGTGGCTGTCGGGACTAGATGATGGGATCCCCGAAAGCAGCTGGCATGAGCAGGTGGGGAGGGGTTGGGAGCAGCGACGGCCCTGACCTTCCCTGTTGCTGTGGGCGGGACATGTGGAAGCTTACCGCACAGAGCTCCTGCGGCCTGTCGCCTGCCGCCAGACATCTCTCTGCCCCCTCCCCACCTCCTAGTCCCCTGGGCCTCTCTGTCCTTCTCCATAGGCCTGTCTCCGTCACTGTCATTCTCCCTTCCCCACCCCCACCCTCTCTCCAGGGCCGTGGGTGGGGGCCGAGGGGCCAGGAGGATGCCCCTGGGGTGCCTGACTCTGGGGGGCCTGGACTCCCAGCTTACCTGGCGACCCCCAACTCATGAGCAGAGCGGGCCAGAGGGCCTCCCGCCCCCTGCAGCCCCCGCCCCACCCCAGCCCTGCCCGCCAGCCTGGGGGACCACATGCGCCCTCGCTCTACCCTGTGCTGTGCCTGGCGTGTCTGCAGTCAGAGCTGCCGTCCACCCTTTCCCACGGCCTCGCACCCCGCCCATCTCTCCACGTTGCCTCCTCCAGGTGTGAAAACACTCGGGGGACAACAGGGAGCAGACCAGGGGTCACGGACACCGGTCCTCTGACGCCTAGAACGTTAGCTCTAGGGGGCTGGACTGTGGCCCCGGGTCCGGCCGGTGTCCTCAGCTAGTGGTGCTCGGAGACCATCTGTCAGGTGACTAAAGGGGTGGGCGCTGGGACCTGGGACTCCCCAGGTCCCAGCGCCCACGGGCCAAGGCCCAGATCCGCGCCCCTTGCAGTGACCCCGCCCCACGAGCCTGAGCCCCAGGGACAGCAGAGCCCTCGGTCTGGACGAGGCCCGGTGGGGGCTGCAGGAAGCTCCGTGCTGTAGGACACGCCCAAACACCTCCTTCTGTGTCTCCACAGGGCGTCTTGGGCCCTCCTGCCCGGGGAGGGGTTTTCCTCCCAGGCCCCAGGGCTCCTGCAGCACAAGGCTCTTCCACATGGCACCTCATTTCTCTTTCCCTCCCTCTAACAACCCACGAGGGAGGCCCTGACTCTCCATCTCAGCAGCCGAGGAAGCCAGAGCCCAGAGAGGCTGCCTTTCCGCCCAAGGTCACACAGGTGGAGAGGCAGAGCAAGCTGGGGTTCGAGGCCACCCAGCCAGGCTTGGGGGTGCCCCCTCCCACTTAGGCGATCCTTGGGGAGGAGGGGTGACAGGCTCGGATGGACATTCTGTGATCCTGGCCTGGCTCCACCATGCCCTCTGTGCGACCTCAGCAGCACCTGGCCTCCCTGGCTCTCAGCTCATCTACGGAATGAGAATGATGCTAACACCTCCCTGACACGGGGAGGGGGCCGCAAAGGGACACTGCCAATACAACCAGGATTCCCACCTACCTTCCCCTGTCCCTCCTGGGCCCAGCCAGGGACATGCCAGGCGGGCTGGTTCCTTCCTGAGCAAGTGTTGGTAAGAAGCCTGGCTCCTCCTCTCCTGGGGAGACAACGCCCCCTCCCCTGCCAGAAACGCAAAGTCCTTACCTGGGATCCAGGTACACCTGGGGGGCCTGGGGGACCGTGGGGTCCAGGAGGACCTGTTGGCAGAGGCACAGATGGTCACAGGGGCCAGAGAAGCCCGTCTCCCCATCAGCTCTGGAGAGGAACCGACCCCCTCCAGCCCCAGCCCTGCCCTGGGTCTGCCTCCATGGTGAGGAGCGGGGAGCGCACACTCTCCTGGCCTCCGCTGCCCACCCTCAGAGCCGAGACCCACCTCCACTCGCTCTCCCCCTGCAGCTCCCACACCCCCTCCCAGGGTCTCGCCCACGGGGCCGTCCCGCACACCTCCCCAGCCAGCCAGTCCCCTGGCCAATCTCTCAGGTCTGCGCCTCCGAGGCCATCCTCGCCTGAGTTCCTACAATGGCTAACCGACCACCCACCCTCCCTGTGGCCACCCAGAGCGACCTTTCAGTTAGGTCCCTCTCAGCCCAGCCTCCTCCACCCCCATCCCCCAGATACCCTCCAGAAAGTTCCTCCGCTTCTGTGCCTTTGCCAATGCTGTCCCTCCCTCCTGGAGCTTCTCCATCTCCTCCCCACCCAGCAAACTCCTTCCTGTTGGTCTTTCCTACTAGTCTCAGGCTGAGCATCACCTCCTCCAGGAAGCCTTCCTACTCCCACCTCTCCACTAGGCAAATCCAGGACATGGACCAGCCACTACCCACCGCCTCTGTCGGTTTCCGTGTCTGTCTCCCCATGGGCCAGGGAGTGCTCAGGGGGTCAGGCTGGGTCTGAGCACGCAGCACGGGGAGCGGCATTTGTGACTGAACTTCCCACACGCCTGGAAGAGTGAGGCCCCTGTCCCCAGTGCCCGCACAGGCCTGTGCCCTCCGGGCTGCAGGGAGCCCCCTGCTATACCGATGTGCCCCCTATGCCTGGGGAGGACCCACAGGAAGGTCACCTCAGGTGGGGCACAGATCTGAACTCAGTCTAGTTAGAAAATGAACACCTCCCTGCAGTCCGAACAAGTCACCTGAGGTCCCCAGTTGCCCCCCCAGCTCACTGTCACCTCCTTGGGCCTCTGTTCAAATGCCACCTTTGAAACCAGGCCAGGAGCCTAGAACACCACCCGGCAGGTGGGACGCGCTCCTGAACACTTGTAGAAGGCACCTTGCCAAGGCCACAGGCCCCAACCGGCCCCTCGTGGCCCCAGGGCCCAGGCCAAGCCCAGGAGGGGCACTGGTCCCGGCCGGCCTGTGCTGCTGCGCTCTGCACTTACCTGGAGGGCCGGGGGGGCCCCGGGGCCCTGGGACGCCTGCCAGCACCGTGTCCACGGCAGCAGAGGCCAGTTGTGCATCTCCATCTGTGGGGAGAGCAGAGCCCCCTGTGATCTGGCAGAGCCGGGGGGCTGGACCTGAGGCGGCATCCAGGCTCAGAGCCGGGAAGTGCAGCCCCGACCCCGCTGGGCCCTGGCAAGCAGACGCTGATGCGCTCACCGCTCAGAAGAGCACAGGGAGGCCGGTCAGAGGGCAGGGAAGCCTGGTGGCCTTCATATAAAGACAGTTCCTTCCTGAACATTCCAGGCCCGTAGACTCTGGCTGCACCCCGCTCGCCCCCCAGTGCCCGAGGCTGGCACTCTGTTCTGGGCTCCACCCTCATGCCCGTGCCCTTGCACACAGCTGGCTTACTCCTGCGGGGCCTCCTGCTCAGGGAGCCCTCCCTGCCCACCGCTCTGGGCTGCAGGGCCCTGTGCTGCCTCCATCAGGGCTCTGGGCAGTGCTGAGGTCTCCCGTCTCCTCCAGGGCAAGCCCCCTGTGACTTCACCTTGCCGCGTCCCCAGAGCCAGGCCCAGAGCAGCCAGGCTCAGGGGATGTCTGGGACAGGGGTGGCTCCTCTGCCCTCCCTTCACACACGGAAACCTGGGCTGTCCTTCCACAGGCTGCACAGCAGGTGGCCTGCAGGTGCTCCGTCCCGCCGAATGTCCCTGCTGGGGCACCCCACTCTTCCCAAACGCTCATGCCCTGGCCCCGCAGGACGGCGCCCTCCCTCGGGGACCCCAGGGCTAGGGGAAGAAGGGTCCTGTCTGAGGAGAGCTCCGGGCATGGGAGTGGCAGACGCAGGGCCTCATGCCCAGGCCAGGGCAGGCTGTGGCCCTTGGAGGGCTCTTCGTGGTCCAGGGTGCGGCCACTGCGCTCTGAGACCCCCAAGTACATCACAAGCACCTGTCCTCTCCCTGCCCAGGGGGCATCACCGAGCCCCCTGCGTGTGAGGAAGCGGAGGCTTCAGTGTTCACACTCGCTCCAGATGGCCTGTGAGAGCGAGGCCCATCCCAGGCCCCCCCGCTGCACGCCTGGCCCCCGCACCCACTGACGGCAGCCCAGGACCCCCTCTGCTCAGGAGTGTCTTGCTCCTCCAACCCCAGAGCAACTCCATCAGGGGGTAGTACTGCCCAACATTACAGATGGGGAAACTGAGGCTCAGAGGAGGACAGTGTGATTGAGGTCCAGGCGAGGCCTGTGCTGCCTGGGGTACAGAAGCACCAGCAGGAGGGGATCCAGGTTTCTCTGACAGATGACAAAGAGGTCCCAGCCCCCACGGCGCCCGGGACGTCACCCACCCAGCCTCTCTTCTCAGAATTTGAAGTCAACCCTGTCACTGGCCTCTGAAAACCCTTCCCCGGTTTCTCAGGGCATTTAACAAAAACGGCGCCCCTCACGGGCAGTAGGGTCCCTCTGCCTGGCCGCGCCCCCAGCTCGCTCTCCAGCCTCCCCGTACCGCCCCCTACGCGTGGCGGACGTCTCTGTGTGTTCCGAGGCCCCCTCTTGCACCACCCTGTGGCCCCCGAGGGCAGGAGTCTGTCTTGTTTGCTCCTCGCTGTGCCCCAGTGACAAAAACTGTGTGTGTGACACACAGTAGGTGCCCCAGCAACACTTGTCAAGTGACCGACAGTGAGGGGTCTGTGAGAAGATGCCATGACGGATAACCCTGGGGGTGCTGCCGTCGCCAGGCGGGGAAACCGAGGCCAGGCCAGAGAACAGAGTGACCTCTGGGGAGTCAGGACCCAGGATCAGGAGCCGAGCACTGAGGCAGGGACAGGCCGCACTGGGGCCGGGAGCAGGGTTGGGGGCCAGCACCAGCCCCCAGGGCCCCTCCACCTGGCCGGCAGAGCCTCACTCCCACCCGATGCCCCACTCCCTGACAGGTCCGCATCCCCGGGGTCCCCTGGGGAGGCTGACCCCCCAGAAGACAGTGGCTCGGGCCTGCCCCCGCCCCCAGGCGTGGCACTCACTGTCCTTGTCGGTGGGCGGCTGCAGAGAGTACAGGACGCCTCGGGGGCCGTCTGGAGGGAGGCCCGGGCTGCCGGCCGGGCCAGGGGGACCAGGGGGGCCGGGGCGCCCCGTCTCTCCAGGAAGCCCGCGGGGCCCTGGCGGCCCCAAGAGGCCTGCACGGGGAGAAGAAGAGTCACATGAGGGCTGGCCTGGCGGCCACATTGCAGACAAAACAGGCCGCGAAGGGGACAGGGTCGGAGAGGGTCAGTGGTGGCCTCCAGACCACAGTCTCCCTGGAGGGCTGTCCTGGGATGGAAGTGACATGGTTTCCCCTTCCCTGCCTGGGGCAGAGGGGACAGCAGGGCAGCTGGCGGGAGTGAGGGAAGCAGGGATGAGGAATCAGCGAAGGCTCTGGTCAGATGCTGCCCCCTCCAGGGACCTCAGCTCTGGGGCTGGGGCCTCGAGGGTGGCGGCCAGCCCTGTCCCTGCCCTGACAGGACCTGTACCTCCCCTGCAGGACCCAGGAGGAGTGGGGGGCTCTCTGGAGGTGCTGTTTAAATGGCTAACAACCCCCAACCCTGCAGCCCCACCCCATGCCCGGACCCACAGCTTCTGGAACCTTCTCTTCTCCCTGCAGCCCAGGGTAAGACCAGGCCCTAACGTGCTTGGGATGGGGCAGCAATGGGGGTGTGGTGGGAGGAAGTGAGGCTGGAGCCCCCCAAGATGGCGGGGTATATGGGATGCCTCGCCTGCTCAGACAGGGGAGAAGCCTCTTCCCTGGGGGACAAAGTCCGGTGGGGTCCTTACCGGGAGGTCCTGCCGGGCCCTTCTCTCCTGCCTGGCCCCGGTCACCTTTGGAGCCTGGGGGGCCTGCAGGCCCTGGTGGTCCCATTTGCCCCGGGGGCCCTGGGGAGAGAACAAGGTGAGGCCTGAGGCCACTGTGGCCCAGCTGCCTCTGTGGCTCCAGGCCTGACCACCTGGCTGTGGGGTCAGACCTGCCCCGGGAGCAGGGACCACCTCAGCTGGCCTCAGTCATTTGTTGTACAGACCGTGTTTGTATCTATTAACTTCTGTGATCTCAAGAAATACTTTTCTCCCTACTTGACAGGTGGGGAAACTGAGGCTCAGAGAGTTGTGGTCCCTGCTCAAGGTCATAGAGCCGGCCGCAGGGGAGTCAGGCCCTCCCTCCCCGTCCTGCTGTCCCCCTGCTCAGGGTCGGGAACTGGGCTTGTGGCATACCTCCCCAGTAAGTCCTCCTTGGAGCCCCCGGGAAGCCCTGCAGGACATGCCTGCCCAGCTCCGGGGTCTCAGGCCTCAAGGTGGGGGGAGAGGAGAGGTAAGAGGCGGGCTGTATGGCCGGGGACGGCCCCTCTCCCTCCGGAATGCCTGGAGAGGACGCTCAGACACGCCTGCTGAACTGATGGAGGGACCTGCGCCGGCTCTTCGGGCCCCTCCTGTGCCGACTGCACGACTGTGGTCCCGGAGCAAGGGCTTGATCTCGACCCGGGCTGCTGTTTGGGGATTCCCACCCGCTCTCGGGGAGTCCACGCCTGGCTGGAGTATCACCATTTGTAGGGGTTGTGCCCCACCTGGTGGCCATTTCTTGGAGCTGCACATTCCCTGGTAAGGAGGGAGGTCTGGCCCAGGACACGCAGAGTCCCTCCTAGCCTCCTCCCACGGGGGGTTGGGGCCTGGGTCCTCCAGGGGATGGGAAGTCACCTTCCTCCCCAGTTCCAGAAGAAGGATTTGAAGAACATGGGCATCAGATAGCCCCCTGGGGTGAGACCTTGGGGACAGTGGCTACAGAAGTGGGCCCCCTGCCCTCCCCCCAGAGGCTCCCCCGACCCCCATAGCAGCCTGAGCTCCGCCCCCCACCCAGCCTCCAGCCCCTTGGATGAGCGCAGAATGTCTCCTCCTCCCCTGGCGCCAGGACTGGCTGCTGCAGGCCAACTTGCCCACACCGGGGATCTCCGACCCCGCTCTGCTCCCTCTCCCCGCTGGACAGGCACATACAGGCACAGGGCAGAGGCGGCAGGGGAGGGGACGGGCGGGGGCTCAGAGCCGAGACAGGGCAGGGCTGCTAAGAAGCCGGGGCTCGACTGCGAGAGAGGAGAGGGAGAGAGGGCGTCACCTGCAAAGGGCTTTCGTGGGGCCGAGAATCACGGAGACAAAATGCCCCTGGATCACTGGCTGACCCCAGCGTCACTCTCTGAACCTCGGTTTTCTCCTCTGTAACCCCCAGCTTTATGGGCTTACTGGAATGATTAGAAATAATATCCGTACAGCCTAGGGTGACATAAAAATATTTAATAACTGGCACTGCACACATACTGACCAGTGAGAAGGGACATCAGCCTTAACCCTGAGTCCAGCCATTCTGACAGGTGCCAGCTAAACATCCGCCCGGGACAACAATCCTAACGACTGTTATTTCAATTATTATTACTATTCTGCCATCCCAGAGGGCAGAGCCCAATGGACGGAAGCCACAGAGAAAAACAGTCACCCCTGACTTTGCAACGTGGCGGGAAGGGAGAAAGCAGGATGGCAGGTGTCCTCAGACTCTAGTCCACTCTAGAGTTCAGCAAGGAACCCCTAGAAGGTGGTGGGAGGCAGTCAGCTCCCTGTAGCACCGAGCTGAGCAAGGATGGGGCTGGACTGGAGGCCTAAGTGCAGAGCTAAGGGCAGGTAAGTGCAGAGCAGTAGGGCAGGTAAGGAGGACAGTAGCTGAACTGTGATACAATAAGGAATGGTGAGGACTGCGGCAAACTGCAGAGCTTGGACAGAATCTGCGGGAACAGCCGTGACTTGGCTGCAGCCAATTGTTTCCATGAGGGACTGCCAGCCCCCAAGGCCAGATCTTCCATTTTTCTAAGAGGAGCTAAAAATCCTGATATTCATGTGAAACTCCCCAGTTTTTAAACGTTAGCTCAGTTTTTCAAGATGCCACATGGGTGTGTTTGACCCAGAGGGCCTACTGTGGTGACCAGGGTGGAGGCCCTGGGAGGCCATGCCCGGGGCCTCTTTGGCTGGCCCAAGCCCTCGCCCGCAGGCCTCACTCACCGGCTGGGCCCAGGGGCCTTCTCCTGTGGGGCCCCGGGTGGGCGAGGGGGATGGCGTCGGGGAGGAAGTCCTCGTTCCAGGGCGGTGGGGTACTCTGGGGGGCCGGCAGGTCATTGTCCGGGCCTGAGGGCCGCTCCGCTGCTTCCAGCAGGAGAACCTGGGCCGGAGAAGGGCCGGGGGTCAGGCCCCAGGCCAGACCAGGGACACGAGTGTACAGGGATGCGTGCCCGCTGTGGGCATGGGTAGTCCCCTCCCCAGTGGGACCACCGCCCCCTTTGCCGATGCTCTCCCGGCCCTGTCCCCCTCTCCTTGCCCGCTGGACCCTTGGGCTCAGGCACATCCCCATCGGACACTTCCGGAGTCCCTGTGCTTCGCTTCTGGAGCGGCTGTCACTGGGATTAGGGACCTGTGGCGGTTGGCTAACGACCCCGGTCACCCCCACTTCACTGGCCCCTCCCAAGGGGGGACTAGGGGATCGTCCCCCACACTGCCGGGCTCAGGGCACCAACAATGGGGTCAGGAAATGTTTGTGGATGGATGGAAGAAGGGAGGGAGGGAAGAGAGAGAGAGAGAAAGGAAGGAAGAGAGAGAGAGAGAGAAAGGAAGGAAGGGAGAGAGAGAGAGAAAGGAAGGGAGAGAGAGAGAGAGAGAAAGGAAGGAAGGGAGAGAGAGAGAGAGAAAGGAAGGGAGAGAGAGAGAGAAAGGAAGGGAGAGAGAGAGATAGAGAGAGAAAGGAAGGGAGAGAGAGAGAGAGAAAAGGAAGGAAGGGGGAGAGAGAGAGAGAGAGAGAAAGGAAGGGAGAGAGAGAGAGAGAGAGAGAAAGGAAGGAAGAGAGAGAGAGAGAAAGGAAGGGAAAGAGAGAGAGAGAAAGGAAGGAAGAAAGAGAGAGAGAGAGAAAGGAAGGAAAGAAGGAAGGAGGAAGGAAAGAAATAAAGAAAAAGGGAGCAAGAAAGAAAGGGCCCAGCTAGGTGCCTGATTTTTAGTAGGAGCTCCAGGAAAACAAACAGTGGCCGTGGTCACTCAGGGCCTGGAAAGCAGCCCTGTCCTCTACCCCTGAGGGAGGCAGGAGTCAAAGAAAGGGAAGATCCCAGGAGACTGTCTTCCTAACTCAGATGAGCTGGGAGCCGGGCCTCAGAGGCCCCTACGAGCCCCGGCTGTCCCCAAAGAGGCTGGCAGGGGGCGCTGCAGGCCCAGGATCTGCACAGGGCACAGGTGCTGAGAGCCATGGTAGCCCCCCGACCCAGGGAGAGGGGACCTGGAGTCCCTGTCACGTGGAGCCCAGCTTCCTGCTCCCACCCACGTGTCCCTGGTCTTAGTGCCCCGACCTGCCCGACGGGGAGGAAGAAGTCCGGGGTCTCAAGGTCCCCCCAGCTCTTGGGACCCAGATCCTGCATCCTCCTAGATTCCCGGACTGGGCCTCCCCGCTTCCTGGAGGGTCAGGGCCTCCCCCAGGCCTCCCCCAGTGCCCCTCGGTCTGCCTGCGGCCCTCGCTCAAGCCACATCTGGTCTCCTCAGACTGTAGCAGCCCCCTGCCTCCCCCACCTCGGCCTTCTGCTCCTGGAGCAGTGAGGTGGAGCCCCCCTCAAGCCACACAGGAGGCCGTCTCGGCCTCCCTGCCCCTCCCGGCCTCCCTGCCTCTCCCTGCGCTGCTCTGCTCCAGCTGCCTGAACCACCCCCAGGGCCCCGAGGGCCCCGACTTCCCCACCTCCAGGCCCTTGCTCCCGCAGAGCCCTCAGCCAGCCCTGCCCTCCCCTCCTGAGCCCCTGCAAGACCCAAGTCGCTGAGCGTCCCTCCCCCCTGCAGTCTGTCTGACCCTCTGGGCAGAAGGGGCCACCCCCTCCTGTGTGTCCCCCAACCCTGCACCATCCCTTTGTGCCAGCAGCCGGGCGGGGGAGCAACTCCATCAGCCCTGCCCTCAGGAGATGGGATCATGTGGGGAGTGGGTGCCCTCCTTGCTCTTGGTCCCCAGAGCCAGGCACGTGTTAAGTGACACGTGATGGGGGATGCTCAGGCCCTGGTTCCTCACAGGCCAGTTTGAATCCTGGCTCTCCCACGAGGCGGCCCCTGTGTGACCTGGGCAAGTGTCATGACCTCTGTGGGCCTCAGTTTTCCCCTCAGCAAAATGGGGGTGATAACGTTGACCCACAGGGCCATGAGAGAAGGGAGTGCGCGGCCCACGGCACCCTGGTTACCCCGGCTGATGCCGCGGGGTCCCCGGGGACAGACAGCTGCCTTCACAGCACCGGGCCTGGGTGGGGCTGAGGTTTCGTGGGGGCGTGGCAGAGGGTCCCTCTGGGCGCCCCCTCCCACCAGTCCTGCAGTGTCCCCGGGCCTGCGTGACAGAGTCTCCGAGGACCCTTGGGAACCACGTACCACCCCTGCCCCAGGTCTCAGGGCCTCCCTCTGTGTAGGGTGGGTGGCTCCTGTCCTGTGAGGCTCCGGTGACCCCCAGGCCACTTCTCTGAGCTCCTCCCCTTTCTGGTCCTCGCAGGGGCCTGTGAGGCAAGAAGGGTCACTGTGGCCACATCACAGGTGAGGCCGAAATAGAGGCTCAGAGACTTGCCAGCGACTTGCCCAAGGTCACCCAGCAAGTAGGTGGTGGGGCCAGTGGGGTGCCTCGTCCACCTCCCCACAGCTTGGCCACAGCCTTGGCCATGGCGGAGCTTCTGGGAGGCACGGAGAAGGGGAGTGGCTGGCTCAGGTCACACAGCAGCTCCGGGTAGAACCCCGTCTCCTGACGCCCAGAATCCCTGTGGGGAGGGGAGGGTTACCATTCCTGTCCCAACTGCTGAGTGTCCACTGGGAAGCTGACTGGCCACGGCCAAGGGTCAGGGCTCTGGGGCAGTGGAGGAGCTGGGTGGGGGTGAGGAGACTTGGCTGCCGGTGGGACGTGGTGGGGGACCCCGGGCAGTGGGCCTGAGGGTGGGGGAAGGCAGGAGTGGCTCCCTGTTTCTGGCCTGGCTCCGGGGACGGTGGGACTGCCACCAGTCAAACAGGGGCACAGAGAGGGCAGGTCCGGGGTGAAGGTGGCCAGTATTGGGGGTGGGCTGCAGTGTCTTGGGGACCTCCAGATGGACACATCCACCAGGGAGCAGTCAGGAGCGGCAGTGCGTGGGGGCAGTTTGGAGGGATGAGGGGAGGGGCACGCGCCCTGGGCTCCTGGGGCTGACCCCCATGTTCTCCTTTCAGGCAGGGGTCAAGGCCCCCGGGGGACCTGCCGCCTGCAGCCTGGCCCCCACACAAAAGGCCTGGCCCACTTCTCCCTGGGCAGCTCCCACGCAGACACCAAGGCCCACAGCCCCGGGCAGAGGAGCGCTGGCCACGGCCAAGCTAGCCTCAGCCCCGGCCAGAGTCCGAGCCCCTGGCCCGGCCAGGCCAGCCTCCCGGAGACGCTGATCCCATCCCCAGCGGGCATGAGCTCACCAGGCCGGGCAGCCGTGGGCGTGGGACTCAGCCCAAGAAGACCAGACCGCGGCCAGCCTCCGAGGGCAGGGGCCCTGACGTCACTGTGGCCTGGCTGATTGGCCAGAATGCCGCCCTCCTGCACCAGAGGCCAGCAGAACTCCACAGCTCCTGCGACCCTCACGAAGAGACATCCCCTCGGGCTCCCTCCCACTCTGAGTGGCCCGTGAAGTCAAAATGTGAACCGAGGGGGAGGAGAGGACGGAAGGTAGGACCTTCCCTGCTGGCCTTCCACCCCACTGCCCCCAAGAGCCGTTCCAGCCTGCCCCAGGGAAAGGGGGTCCTATGGCAACTCGGGCACCGCGGGGAGTGAAGATGGAGCAGACCCTGATGGTTGCCTGGCCCCCAACTGCCTCCTCTTCCCTGGCTCCAGAACCCCTATTGTATACCTGTGGGTGTCCCCAGAGGAGGAATCATGATTGGCTTGGTACTCATTTTCCCATATCCCTGGCAACGAGGAGATGGGCATATAGCCCAGTGCTGGCCAATGAGACATAATGAGTCTGTTGGGGTGCTCTGCCTCACCCTCTACTTCCTGCCTTTGTACACGATGTGAGGATGTGATGCCTTGAACCATAGCAGCCGCTTTGTAACCATGAGGCACTGACCATGAGGACAAAAGCCAATTCACTAAGGAGGTGCAGGGGAATGCTCCTGGGTTCTTGAGGCACCAAACCAATCCCAAGACCACCTACTCCTGGACTTTTTGTTGAACAAACAACAAACGTCCTTAAGGAATAAGCTGCCATTAGCTAGGTTTCTGTTACTTGCGGCTGACACATCCCTCCTGACACACCAAAACAGGTTTCTCATTGAGGGAGCAGAGGCCAGTTTCCAGGCCTCTGGGTTGCTGTTCTTTTATGCCAGCTGCCCTGTTTCTGACTCCCCGTCTGGGGTCTGCCTGCCTGGCTCTGCCGTCACCCGCCTGACACCAGCCTCTGGCCTGGCTGACCCCAGCTCCGTGTTCTCTCTGACTCCTGCAGGCTCACCTGGCCTTGGCGCAGCCCCAGGGCTGCTGGGCTGTCCTGACAACTAGCCTGGCTTGTGTCCCCTCCCTCTCCAGGCTGCTTCCTCTCAGGGCCCTCTGACCCAGGCCGGCGAAGCTCCCAGTGGCCCTGTCTCTCTAGGGGCCACAGGCACGGAGCAGGCAGGTGGCAGCTGGAAGGTGACCCGGACAAGAAGCAGGAGCTGAGACAGGAGGTCCCAGCCCCTACTGGGAATCCAGAAGGAGGGTGGGCCGCTGAGCCAGAACCCCCAAAGGAGGGTGGTGGCAGCCACCTCTCTGCACACCCCAGACTCAAGCCACCGCCCCCACTCCCCACCTGAGAGCTACCTGAGCTCTCCCCTGGGTACTGGCCTCTGAACGACCCAGGGAGGGGCGGGGAGGTGAGGCCTTCATGTTCCATTTTACAGGGCAGGTCCGAGGCCAAGCTGAGACGGGGCCTGCCAAGGCAGGGCTATTGCAGGACGGGACTCCTAGCCTCGGCCCCTCCAACACCTCCTGCTGTCCCTCCCCGACCCCAAGGTCCACAGAGGCTCAGAGTCCTCACCCTCAGGGCCACAGAGCCGGCTGCCGAGGCTGTCGTGCCGGGACGCGTCAGGGCCAGAAGGACCGGGGATTGGAATGGCTCGTGGCAGGAGGGCGTGGGCCAGGGCCAGGAGGGCGCAGGACAGCTGGCACTCTGCCAGCGCTCCCCCAGAGCTGTGACTGAACGCCCCAAGGCGCTGGGCTGGGGCCAGGGCAGGCTGTCGGCCGCTGCTCTGCCAAACCACGCAGAGGCTTCGGGGGCCTGGGAAATGTCCATCAGGTTGGCTGGCCTGGGACCCCCTTTCCTAAAATCTGGGGTGCCAGAAGCTCACTCCACACCCCCCCCAGGGCTGCCCCAGCCCCGGCTTGGCCCACGTGGCAGCATCTGCTCCCTGAAGCCTCCCACCCCACCCCCAGGAAACCACTGACTCCCAGGAGCGCACAGCCCCCCACCTGTGCCCAGGACCCCTGCTGGCAGAAGGGGTCGAGGACAAGGGAGGCCACTCAGGGGCTTCTCATGTCCTGTGCCCGCACGGATGTCTCCACACACTTGTGGCTTCATCTGTAGGAGGGGACAGCGACGTGGCGTAGACGGTAACATGGACCCTCACAGCTCTCTGGCCCTGGACCACGTCCAAGGCCGGCTCCCACCACTGTGTCACCTGAGGCCCCGCTGCCCTATGAGGCTGGTACTTGAGTCCCTTCCACAGATGAGGAGGCGGGAGCTCAGTGAGTCACCAGCTGGCTCGTGCTAGCCCATGTGTGTCTGACTCCCAGTGACAGTCACCTGCGCCCATCCGACCGGGCAGGTGTCCTCCCAGCCTGGCTTTCAGGGCAGGAGGCAGGGCCAAAGTGCGGTGTAGGGTTGGCAAGGGCTGCGTGTATGTGTCTGTGTGTCTCTGTGGTGTCTGTGTGTGTGAGTGTGTGTGAGTGTGTGTGGGTGAGTATGTTGGAGTGTGTGTGTCTGTGTGTGTGACTGAGCGTGTGTGACTGAGTGTGTTTGAGTGTGTGTGTGAGTGTGTGTGTGCCTTCAGGGGGGACCCGCCTGTCAGGCCCCTGGGCTGGGGCCCGACCCCTGGGCCTGCTCTCAGGGCTCTCGCCGCGGCGTCTCAGCGCACCGGGGGCTCCGGCCTCCCTCTGGCCTCCGTGCCCGCGGGCTGCACTGGCCCCGCTCCTCGGCCAGTTGGCTGGCCCGGCCACTGCAGTTCTGTCCGGGGGAGCCCTGCCCGGGCCTCCCTGCTGACTCCGGCCGGGGATGGTGAACCCCACAGGTTCGCTGCCCCAAGCGGCTGCACGTGAATCGGAGGCGCAGTGGCCTTGGCCCCCGGCCTGTCCTGCCCCAGGCCCAGCCCTCTCCTGTCAGCAGCGCTGCTCTCAGACCCTCTAGGTGCGAAGGAGAATGGGCGTGTCCCCAGCCAGGGCACCGCCCGTGGCTCCCACGGCTTTATGTTGGCACCTGCCCAGAGCTTTCTCCGGCCACAGGAGTGAGCGTGGCGGGCACAGGGACAGGCCAGAGTGACAGGGACTACCAGCCAGGAGGAGCCTCGCCTGGTGGGGGACGGGAGAGACCGCGGCGTCCTCGGCCCTCGGCAGGCCCTCGGGAGTGTGCTTGGCACCGTCTCCCAGAGGGCCCGGGGTTGGAGCCGCAGGTGCCCACACGGGTAACCTGCCTGCTCGCACGCTGCGCATCGCACATCCGGCCCTCCCTGACTCTTCTCTCCTCCCTCTCTCCTCGCCCGGTGATGCCTGGGGCCACTCCCAAATAAATTCCTTGTCCTTTATCCAGTTCTTCTGCCTCTGGGGTGACCCATCCCTCCCCTGGTGTCGACAGGCCAAAAGCTGGCTGGTGCCCAAGGCTTCTTCTCCATCAGCTCCTCTGGGCCCAGCTGCATACCAGACAGAAGGAGGAGGTGCCAGAGTTGGGCACAGCAGCCCTGGGAGGACAGCGACTCCTTCCTCTTTCCACTGAGGGGTCGACTTCTAGGCGTCCAACCTCCCAGCCCCTGAGGCCTGCACCCAGACCAGCCTGCCGCCTGGGACCTACAGATTTCTTGCTCTCCCCACCCCACCCCCCACCCCAGGAGGCTGGCCCAGCCCAGAGAAGGCCACTCAGAGCCACCGAGGCCCCGGCAGCACCCAATGCCTGCGACCAGGCTGCTCAGGCCGCTGGGCCTCCTGGGGTTGGGGTTTCCCCAGCCACACCCTGCAGGTGCCTCATGCATCCTCCCCCAGCCAGCTCCCCTGGCCCAGGCTCCCCAGGCTGTCTGACCTTGGCCTCCAGCGTGGTCAGCCGCTCACTCATGTTGCTGAGCCGGGTACAGTTCATGCATTCTGAAAGAGAAGAGGATCCCAGGTGAGGCTAGAGGATAGACCCCGGGGAGAGAGCAGCCCAGCCACCAGGACAGCCTCTGGGTAGCGCAGGGAAATCTCTGATCAATGTGCCTGGAAAACTCCTACTCATCCTTCAGGGCCTTATCCTTAGCACCCCCTCCTCCACGCAGCCTGCCCGCCCTCCGAGTCTCCTTTCTGAGCACCCACAGCACATTGCACCATCGTTTATTCAGCACAGTGTCTGAGCCGGTGCTGGGCCAGCACCCGGCTGCCTTGTCAGTCTGTGAGTGTCACGAGGGCAGGGGTCTCTGGCTATTTTGTTTGCCTGTGAATCTCAGTACCTGGTTCAAAGAAGGGGCTCCAAAAATATCTGATAGTTGATGAATGGATGGTAAATGAGACGCACTCCCCGCCTATGAGAACTGTAGTCTGGGGAAGGAGCCGGGCAAACAGACACAGGCTGGTAAGGGCTATGCTGGGGCTGTAAGAACAGAACGTGCAGGACAGCATCATGGGGAACGCCCAAGCCAGCCCGCGGTGGGGGAGGGGATGGTCAGGGAGGACATCCTGGAGGCAGCGGCATCTAAGGTGAGGCCTAATGGAGGCACAGTGATTGGCCAGGTTCAGCAGAGGGGTGAACAAGTGCTGAGGCCTGGAGGGGAACAGAACAGGGGTCTGCCAGCAACCTGGCCAAATCAGAGCTCCCTTACGGGCCCCCCCGAGGCTGGAGCGGTGGGCTGGGCCCTAACACAGGAGGCCTGGCGGGAGGCGCTCAGCAGGATCCTGAGGCCAGTGGGCAGCTGTTGGAGGGGGTGGAAGTCAGGGTCGGATTTGCATTTTTTAAAGTTCACTATGGCAGCAAAGTGCCCAGTGGGCAGGAGTGGGAGGGACTGGCAGCCGGAAGGCCAGTTAGGAGAGCAGTGATGGTTAACCCCAGAGGCACGCAGCCCCGGGACTGTAATTATCCATTTCTGCCTGTCTGTCCCCGAGACCCGGAGATCTCTAATGAGGAAATAGATGGTTCAAAGCTGTTCTAAAGAGCTTTTATTGCTCTCGAAGTCAAGGGACGCCTAAATTCCTCTGTCAGTTCAAAGCCTGACCCTACAGGAACCCTATTCTGGTGAAACAGACACAAGACCCCAGAGAGGGCTGACCACCGCAGCAAGGCCCTCACGGTTCCCCACAGAGTCCCCCACACCATCGGTCTCCCCTGTCCTTGGAGACGTCCCCCAACTTCGTCCCTGAACATGAACCACCTCGCTAATATCCCTGTTCTAAAATGGTGACTGCTCGGTGAGAGATGTGGGCCCGCGGGGGTCTGGGGACCACAGGAACAGGTGGTTCAGGCTGTGTCCTCCGCAGGGCCGCCCAGCCTCGGGGCGAGGGAGGCCAACACCGCCACTTTCTGCCCACCAGCCCCACGTGGGTTTACGAGACTCACCAGGGGGGCCCCGCTCCCCTCGTCTCCCTCCCCTGCTCCTCTGGGCTGGGCCCAGTCAGCGGTTTATAAGCATTTTTTTAGGACCAGAACTCTTTCTCCCCCGCAATAAAACCTTCTCAGTAACCCCGATACATAAAACAGATTAAAGGCTGAGGTATAAACACTGCAACTTTAAAACAACCAGAAGAATGTACACAGTTGTCTGACTCTTCGATGGGGCAGGACTCGCAGAGGACCAGCCAGAGTGGGGTGGTTTCTGGTTAAACTAGAAGGGGACTGAACACACGTCTCCCTCCGGTTCCTCCCAGGAGAGGGATGGTGAAGGAAGAAAAAGGTACAAACCACAAAGCACAGCGAAGGGCAGGGAGACGCCACAGGGGACCAGCGCTGCCAGTACAGGAAACGCACCCCAGCCAGTCCCAGCCTAGAAGATGGAGGGGAGCAGAGCCTCCAGGCTCCCCTGAGGCTGGAACAGCCCAGGCGGGAAGGGTGAAGGGTCCTCTCTGGGCACAGGGACCCGCCCGAGGGGAAAGGCCCACCGGCACAAGAGCCCCCAGTCAACAAGGCCAAACCACATGGAAAGAGCCCCAGGGGAGTCTTACGCCTCCCTCTTAAATACAGACAGCCCAGGAATCCCGGGCCTTTGCAAGAAGCCTTTGATGGGAAAAAAACAAACAGGGTTACATTTGCCCACCCACCCACCCTCCCCTCCACCCATCTACAGCTCCACCCCCACTCAACCGCCCCCCACCCATCTCCTCCTCCACCTGGAGGCATGGTGGTTGCTCTGTGCCCCTGAGTGACCCTGTGCTAATACTGATGGGGTGGGTGGCAGGGCAGTACAAATGGGGCGCCTGCCCTCGGAGCAAAGGCCCGTGGGCTGTCCTGAGCAGCCGTGTCTTATGGGGCACAGGCGCTGACTCTGGAGGAGGACCCACCTGGAGGACTTTGAGAAAGCGACTCCCAGCTCCCCTGTCCACGCACTGCACTGGGGAGGGCATGGTGCCTCCCTGCGGGGCGGCAGGAAGAGCAGGAACAGGATGGACAGGATGGACATGGGTGAGTTGTAAATTAGATCCCCAACCCCGCCCAGAGAACATTCTAGAGGCATTTAGGGGCCATGGCCAGAGCACTTCCAGGGTCTGAGGCCACAAACAGGACTCCCTGCAGGGGGGGGTCAGCGGAGGGAGGGGTGAGCCCCCGGATCTCACAGGAACCTATTTCTGGAAAGTGTGCTAGGCCTGGGCCCAGTTTGCTCTGGCACTGGGCACCCTGCTTGGCAGTTGACAAGCAGCTTGGCTGTCGGCAGGCACAGGGGGTCCAGCTCCCCAGCTGTGCAGAGGCCCAGCCAGCGAGCAGGGGCAAGGCCGCCAGCTCGGCCTCCCAGTGCCACCTGCCCGGGCCGGCGCTGGGACCAGGTGGGTTTCATGGTTCTCCTGGCATCCTGTCATCAATTAAAGCCTGTTTGTCTAACTTGCTCTAATTATCCATTGGAACGGTGGAAACATGGCAACGGCGCTGATGGGGCTGATCCTGGCTCTGTGACGGGACGAGGCCCTGGCCGCCTGGCTCTGGGCCTCAGTTTCCCCTCGCTAAGATGAGGGCTCTAACTTTCTGGGGTTCTGAGGATTCCCACGTTCCCAGCACACACAGGCCCACGAGCCTCAGGGCCACAGCACATTTCTTGGTGGCCAGGACACAGATGCAGAAACCTGTGTTGGGAAATCTTTGCCAATTCGGTATGTGTGTATCAGAAGTGTGGACGTGACAGGCAAACCAGTGTGTATGTGTGTGTGTGTGTGTAACAGAAAAAGAGAAACTAACTGCTTGGTGCAGTCAGTGAAAAGAACTCTAGAGGCAAGGCCCTCTTTCTCTCCGCACCTCAGTTTTCCCATCTGTAAAAGGGGTTTATGCTGGATCAGCTCCAAGGGCCTCAGGCTCCCGGACTCTGCTCCTGCCACCTGCGCCCTCGCCCTCGGGCTCTCACTGCTGGGCTCTGTCTGCTGCAGGACAGTAGCTGCCAGTCCATCTGCCACTTGCCTTTGGCCAGCACTACTACTGGCGATGGCTCCGCACCCAGAACTCAGGACCCGCCTCCTGAATGAGGCTGGATTCCTGAGGCCTGGGCCCTGAGAGGGGCTTTGCCGATAGGGCAGGAGTTGGCTATTGCAGAGAAACCTAAAGAGGCAGAGTAAGTCCACTGTGAGGCTCGGGCCGTGAGACCCCGACCGGGGAGCCAGGGCACACAGCTGCTCCTGTGCCCAGGGGCCCAGCTCCCTCTGTGAGAGAGCTCAGAGATGGGTCTGCAGGCAGAGGCATGCGCAGGGTGGTGTCACCAGCAGGCCAACCCAACAGGGCCCAGCTGGAGGAGAGCCCTAAATTCCCCTGGAGACCTTTGACCCTAGCCAAGACCCCTAGGTCCTGTTAGGAGAAGAAAGCTCCATGAAGGTCACTGGGATCAGATGCCGTGGGGATGGGGCAGGGCAGGCCAGCTGGACTGGCCATGAGTGCTCACAGGGGACCACAGGAACAAGGAGGTCCTGAGTGGCCTCAGTTTCCCCAATATGACAAGAGCTGGGCTTGGCCCAGCACAAATACATTTGTCTTACTACACACGGGGTCAGCCTTGGCCCACATGTTCTTTTAGTGACCCCCTCGCCCACTGGGACCTGGGAGGTCACTTAGGACCTTCCTCCACTGGGGAGACCTTGCTCATCTCACCCTCCGTGAGAAACGCTGAACAGCTCCCTGCGCTCAGGAAAAGCTCCTTGTCTTGGACTGGCTGACCGTCCCTGCCTGCCAGGTCTCCTGCCTTCTCTCTCACTACCCCCCCTCCACCCAGGCCACACTCCCAGCCAGGCCACACCCCCTCCAGTCAGGCCACACCCCCTCCAGTCAGGACACACCCCCTCCAGCTAGGACACCACCCCTCAGCCAGAACACCTCCTCAGACAGGACACACCACCAGCCAAGCCACATCCCCTCCAGCCAGGACACACCTCCTCCAGCCAGGACACACCCCCTCCAGCTAGGACACACCCCTTGCCAGGACATACTTCCTCTAGCCAGGACACACCTCTCCAGTCAGGACACACCTCCTCTAGTCAGCATATACCTCCTACAGCCAGGACACACCCACAACCAGGACACAACCCCAGCCAGGCCACATCCCCTCCAGCCAGGACACACCTCCTCTAGCCAGGACATACCTCCTCCAGCCAGGACACACCCCTCCAGCCAGGACACACCCCTCCAGCCAGGACACACC